CTCCACATCTGGCCCGATCAGGGTCAGGCACTCCTTGTAGCTACCTGGCACCGGCGTGCCCCAGTCGCCCACCAGCTGCGGCATCATGGAGTTCTCGTTCTTGCCCTTCACGTAGGCCGGGTACTCCCTCAGCAAAGGCACAGCATTAAGCCACTGCATCCGGTGCCCACGTTCGATGATCTATGTCAAGTGTCCCATGATCTAGAGCATGTTTCTGAGCTGCAGGCTTGTTCATGTCCACAGGCTGCATGTGCTTGGGCAGCGTGGCCAACTCCTCCATGTGTTCATGTACGTCACGGTCACAGCATTGCTGGATGCTGGAAACCACTCCCTCGATCTCGGTCTCTAAAAGCAGAGTAGAGGCCTGCTCTGCTCGGCGCATGGTGCGTCTCCGAGTGGCCAGGCTCGCTGCAGCAGCCGCACCACAAAGAACGGCGGCCTGAGCAAGGGCTACTGTTGTGAAGCTTGAGAATCCTGGATACAGCGAAGGCCATGAGTCCTCGGCTTGCATGAACTCGACTGACTCGGATACGGAAAACCCGGCAGAAGAAGACAGATCGACAAAGCACGCTGCTGCCCACTCGAGACTGAAAACACCACACCACAAGACAAGCAAGTACCAAGTACCTTCGCCCCCGCCCCGAAGGATCCGCTTTCCGGCTGGGTTCCTGCAAGCGGTCGGGAAAGACTCCACTGAGCAGGTGGTGTGTCTAATCACTGCGACCCCAAACCTCGGAGAGTTGTCCGTGCAATGCCGGTTGGCAGGCTCGAGCTGCTGGCCTGAGCAGTCCACACGGCGAGCAGATCAATCGTGCTGGTACGAGCTGGAAAGAGCTTACAGGTTTGCTCACAGGCTCCAAGTGAGCTTTAGGAACTGCCATGGAAGAAGTGCTGAGATCCTTACGCTGGAAGATGGTGCAATAAAAGCCACCTGCACAATCCCGTGGTCAAAGATAAAAAAATCGCCTGCAGAGTGCAAAAGAATTGCTGCCTCCATGGCTCCGTTCCTTCGGTGCTCTCTTCGTGGGAGGTACAAAAAAGAGGCACAGAGCCGCTGCAGAAAACAACATAGCTTACGTGGCAGGACCTCAAAGGCCAAGCACAGGATGCACAGTCGTATTTTCTGGTCGAGGCTCGGGCTGTCTAGATGCTCAGCAACACTCGAAGTGCAAGCATGCTTCAAGCATGGCAGAAAGTAATGTAACAGCAATACTTAGCTTGTTAGATGTTATGGTTGCTGTGATTCCATTACACAGTCGTGCTTGCCAAGCTCGCGACTAGACAGGACAAAAAGTCAGAAAAGACACTGCTCAGTAGTACGTGCCGTCGTCCTTGCCCTGGGCATCCAGCAGGCCCTTCCAGTACCAGGCCTCGTAGGCCTTCTTGGCATTGGTGTCCACGAGCACCTCCACATCGCCGCTTCCCAGCAAGCCGCCCTGGCGCACC